AGGCATGTAAATACTGAAAAGAAAATGTAGGAAAAATAAAAAAAATGGATATGCTACGACATGGCTCCTGGTCTAATGCACGGATGTGATCTTTATTTCTGCAATTGTGTGCATGAGATGCATCCTTKCCATTTGCGATGCAAGTTTTAAGAAATATAAAACTGCACGTGTGTCTCTGTCCTTTGATATAAACACTGTGGGAGTTGAAAAACACTCGAGAAGCAATTGAAGCTTAGAAGCACAAGCRTAGTAAGTTTTTCTCTTGCTTCTTGAGTGCTTTTCAACTCCAACAATGTTATATCAGAGGACAGAGACACAAGCAGCTGTTTTATAGTTTTTTTATAATTTAAATCAGGTTCTGCGTTTTTAGAGCGGAAAACAAATTTTGCTGGCAAGCCGTGTGTCTGTCCTCTAATATGAACATGTCCATCAGCCAATCAGATTGTGCATTTTTTATCAAAAATTTATAATRTATATTGCATGTGAGACTTGTTCTTAAGCCAGGATTCTGAAGATTTTAGTATTTCCAGTCAATATTAAAAATGATATTTTCTKGGACCCTGTTATTTTGTAAGTCCAAAAAATGTTTTCCAAGGATTTTAGATATATTGTGAACTTTGAATTATTAGTTGATGAATATTGTCCTCTGCCAAAATTCCTATATCATTCCTCTTTTAGTTTAAATACATTTTCGCTATTTCGCGACTGAACGCTCTAAGAGCGTCTAGGTGTACCAGGAATGATCGCGTGACAGTCACGCATCAATGTTTCATTTYAATGGTGAGTTACTGAGTCTCGTCTGTGAAGTCTATTAGTACTGATAAACAGCTTTTGTTTGAACTCCATTCTCCTTGGGAATAATATCAATCGGTAAAGCAGGCTAGGACGTAATACACAATGAATCKATCCCAGCATGATAATTCAAAGAAATCAAAGAGTTTACCAAGGTAACTATCAAATCATTTCAAATCAGTTCAATTTACAGCCAGCACGTAATTCGATAATAATATTATATTGAATTTCTGATATGAAAGACTATCCTMATAGATTCGGTTTCATTTTATTGCGTATTATCGAAGATCTAAATAACTGAGCCTTCGATGAACGTGTAAGAAAGGTCTAWTATTGGTGTAGAGTATAAATCTGTTTCTCTGTCTTCGACCATCAGTTATGTAAAATGAAAGTGTAATGTTGATCGTTGATTCGGTTTCTTTTAATATCTACTGAATATRGTGAGCAGTCGATAACCCTTGACCATGATACGCCCATCTAATTTACATACAGTTGAACGTTTGTCAGGTGCCCTCGAAGGCCTGATACTCAGGCAGGGACACAGCGAGGTCAAAAACAGTCTCTGTAGCAATAACATTAAAATCAGGATTTTACTACTACATTTACACATAAAGCGCTGAAAACCGCTTATTCTTTATAAGAAGATAATCATTAGTGTTTTCGAAAATAAATATCAACTTTGGAAACAGCGTAATATTCGAAAATGTCACCATACTCTTGTGGTTTTCCGCATAAACGATAGGTCTAAACTTATGAAGAAATGTTCGGCTTGCTATATATCCAAATACTTGTAAACGCTGCCTTAAAATAAATTGTATTTTGTTTCTAAAATGAAKACTAAATTATGATGGAAAAAATTAAAATTTGGATTTTTCTAACTACGCGCTTTGTGTATGTGCGTATGAGACGCTACTACTCTCTATTTAGGTGCGGWGATCAAGATATCAGTTATATCAAAGATTTATCTCTATTTTCCCTTTTTGGGTGTGGGTGTGGGTGTGGGAGGGAGGGGGGTAAGGTTAGGACTTAACCAGTTAATTAGCGTTTTTACTGAAGGATGTTACCGGTCATCTCATTGACTAGACGTTGTCACGTGATTCACTATTCGCAACGTTTAATTCGTAATATTTAAGTGATAGTACTAGTGTTAAAACCTGTTTTATGMCGGAAGGTGAAAAAATTCTCGGACCTGAAAAAAAAAGAAACATTGAGCCTATGAAGAAAACGAGGGATATCATCTTGATCAATCTCCCTGAACCCACCCCTCTTAAAATGGTTCACAGAACAGGAATAGACTCGAGACTGAAGCTGTAGTGGCAATCTTTGTGATTTATTAATCTAATCACTGTGGCCCACTTTCTTGATTTCCATGAATYTTCTAATTTGTGAATTTCACAYAGGTTATTAACTAGTGATTCTCGAGCACTTACATCAATTCCTGACACACCCAAACGATGGTCMATACCTGAACCAAGCACACCAGAGACACCAGAAAACATCGACGAAGTGTGCGATGAAGGCGACGTATACCTGGAGTGGGGACAACTGATGAGTAACTGGGAACACGCAGTTAAAAAGAAACCTAAGAATGTACGTGATATGGTACGCAAAGGAATACCCAACGCACTCAGGGGCCTGGTATGGCAGCTATTGTGTGGTGCWAGGGACTCGCCTTTAAAAGACGAATACCCAAAAYTAATCAAGGTAATAAACTCCGGGAGCTGGGCAGTTCAAATTGTKGATRGTTGATTGTTTAAGCAACCAATGTAGTAAACAAATCAATAGTCCCCTTCACGGTTACGTGCGTCATCTTAAAAGGTAGCCGTGCCTTTACATCGAAGCAGGACAACCGTTGAGCGAGAAATGATAGGTACCTGTGAATAATTGTCTGTACCTGTAGGTGTGAAAGAAGGTTTCTATCACTGCACGCTCAACGGTCTTCTCGCTTCGATGCAATTATCATTTGCTCATGCCTGCAACCTGGGCAGCGACCGTTTGTGTTTTTTTTATTTTCTTCAAATAAAAAACAGCACCTGTCAGATGCGACTCAATGAGTATGTGTGCAACACATATGAGCTGCCTAAGAATCGCGGGCACATTTGTGTCGCATTCGTCAAGTTGTTTTTCTACACAAGACAAAAACAGTACGTGAGATTGAACTTGAATATTATCTAATCATCCTTTTTTTCTTAGACAAATTCAGCTTGTGAGCGTATGATTAGACGAGACATCGCAAGAACGTTTCCTGATCACTCTTTCTTTAAAGATAAAGACGGCATTGGTCAAGGGACACTGTTTAACGTTATTAAGGTATGCTATGCTATGCTATGCTATGCTATGTTATGCTATGCTATGCTATGCTATGCTATATTCTATATGTTATGTTATGTTATGTTATGTTATGTTATGTTATGTTATGTTATGTTATGTTATGTTATGTTATGTTATGTTATGTTGTGTTGTGTTGTGTTGTGTTGTGCTGTGCTGTGTTATGTTATGTTGTGCTGTGTTGTGTTGTGTTGTGTTATGTTATATTGTTGTGTACGTCATGAGTAGTTTATATATCAACTGTATTATTGTGTATCTGCTAGGCTTACTCTGTGTACGATAAAGAAGTGGGATACTGCCAGGGAAGCGCGTTTATTGTAGGAATATTATTGATGCAGGTAGGTACTTTCATCTTTATTTCTTTTTGCTGCAGTTCGTTTCTATTTATTGTCCTTTAATTCTTTTCATCATCTCATCATTGTCTTGTCTTTCATTCTATCATACGGCTAATACCTTTGCTCAGATGCCCGAAGAGGAAGCATTCTGTGTTCTTGTCAAACTAATGATGGATTATCGAATGAGAGAAATCTTCAAGCCAACAATGGCTGAGTTAGGTCTTTGTATATATCAACTAGAAAATCTTCTACAGGTACGAATTATTAGAATTGATTATCAACTATGTCTCCATTGAACCCGCGAATACAGTAAATCGGCGTTTACACGAGCAATTTTTCCTTGACCAGTTTTCCTTGACAAGAAAAAATTGCTCGTGTAAATGGGGTAAAAAGGGCAATTTTTCCTTGTCAAGGAAAAGCCAGCATGTTCGCTTTTCCTTGACAAGGAAAAATTGTCAAGGACGAAATTTGCTCGTGTAAATGGACAACAAGGAATACGTGGCAAGGAAAAAGTGTCAAGGAAAACTTGTTGACCATTCACACGGGCAATTTTTCCTTGTCAAGGAAAACTTGTTCTTCGTTTACACGAGCAAAGAAACATTGTCAAGGAAGAATTGTCAAGGAAAACTAGTTGACCATTTACACGAAGGGTCGGGCAATTTTTCCTTGTCAAGAAACTTGTCAAGGAAGAATTGCTGGTGTAAATCTTTATAAAAAAAAAAAAAAAATCGTGTAAGTCTTTATAGTTTGTATTTATGAGCTTCCTGTGTTGTTTTTTAGCGAAAGCGAAAGTCTCTCTTTATCCTTCTGAGTCCCCTTATCTTAAAAGTGTTCTGCCACAGGGAATCCGGAAAATTAAGGGATTCCATTGCGAGGTGCTTGCAGATAATAGTTCATGCGTCCAGAAGAAAGCAAATGATCAACTCACAAAGCAAACAACCACGAATGTTAATTGCTTCTCTCTTTATTAACAGGAAACTTTACCGAATCTATTTGCGCACTTCCAAGCGCAGGTAAAAAGAAATACCTTCATCTMTGGCCATGAAATTACAAAATGATTTGCACAAAAAATAAAATGATAGATAACATGATAATATTTTTTGCCTTAGCCTATTAACGGGTTCTTTATCGTAAAGAACTTTAACATCGCTAAATTCATATCAAATTCTTATGCTCGCTTAGGTAATCTTATTTGTATTGTTCGAACTGTTTTGTCCCCTTCGCGTGTCTTTCCCAAGTTTACAAGCCACTTGCAATAATTATGTCTTTCAAGAAACTCTGTTTTTACACGAACCCGAATATATTTTCATACATTTAGGTGTATTTTTTACACGGACTACCGAAAACGATGTYCTTAATCAGATGTTTGTGAAAAGAAAACAGTTCTTCTCGTACAAACCAAGGGAATATGAGGTTTAAAATAGCCGTATATTTTTGCATTGAGATATGTTCTTTGTTATGTTACAGCCATACAATACAAACTGAATTGGTTCTACTCTAAGACTCGCGTACTAGTTGACCAATGAGAGTATCTCCATATTTTTTCAGGGTTTTCACACGGCGATGTACGCGTCGTCATGGTTTYTAACGCTGTTCGCCTCGGTGTTTCCTCTTAATGCTGCCTTCAGAGTCATGGATGTTTTCATTTCAGAGGTAAACGTACTTTCAGTACTCCTGTACTATAACACTGACTCATCTATACTTTTCATAATAAGAARATATCCATCCGTACTGTCAACTTGCTCTTAGCCATTCTGACTGAATAACTTGAACTCYAAGTTGCACGGTGTACCCAGCGCAGTTTACAGCTGTCTTGCATATTACGCGATGAAACATTTTATTATAGCTCAATTCTAACACGCGCGMTGATTGGCGGATTTCATGAGAAAAGCTAWGGTTTATTTCRCCGGTAAACCAGCCTGCTGTCTTGAAAGRCTTTTGAGTCAAAATGGCGGACGCCGACTATAATWTGAAGGCAATTAACGATAGATTGAAGGGGTTACTGGCGAAATAAACCGCGCGGGATGGTTGGGAGAACACRTCGAGAAAAGATCTGTAAATCACGAGGCGTCAGGCGACTGATTTACGTTTTCTCGTGTTCTCCCAACCATTCCGCGCGGTTTATTTCGCCAGAAAACCGCTTCAAGCTATCGTTTATTGMTTAAATATRTTTATGYATCTAAATAGTGCAGTTTCTGRATGATATATAACATTCATTCAATTGAGGTTGAATAGTGAGTCTATTGTGATTCAGGTTCTAATTATGACTGATAATACATCAATCTGATGCTGTTAGTTGGGATAATCTTTAACAATATGTTCCTTTTCAGGGCCGCGATGGATTGTTTCGTGTGATTGTTGCTATTTTAATGCTTAGCGAAGAAGATTTACTTCAACTTGACATGGAATACATGCTCAAGGTATATTTCATCTCAATCTACACCCAAAAACCTATATATCCTGAAAGTTTGGTGCTTTTGTCACAAAAGTGAACAATCTGACCCCTTATCCTCCGGGCTACGTTTACTTTCGGTAGCAACGCTCAAAGTTCTTTCTGCCGTACAATGTCTCGTCCTTTAAATTCTTTCCTTTCAAGTTTGAAGTAAGTAATATAGCATGTTATGAATCAGTTTAAATGCAGGGTGCACAGTACGTTTCTTTCTTTCTTACTTTAGAATGCACAGTAGGTTATTACTCACAATGAAAACGTTACCCTTCAGAGTCGTACACAATCTTATATTTACTCAATTAGTCCATCGTCACATAGAAAAAAGCGTTTCTACAGTTMAATCTTGTACTTATGTCGTCAAATATCAAAGCTCATAAAAAATACACCAAAGGCGCTCATCTTAGTTTTTCCCTACCAACACAAATTTTGGTTTGGCTAGTTTTAGCTATATATTTAGCATACATTTTGACAAACCAAGCACCAAAAGGTGTTGGTTGTTATATTCGGCTGTAACATATAAAACGCATTGGTTGCAGGTAAACAGCAAATGGGTTACAGTAATCAATATATAACTATCTAGTTGTCTCTACCTTAATGTTTTTGATATCARACGTTTAGATCTGGTCTTAGATCTTCTTCAGTGCAAATTAATCCGCTACAGTAATGTTGTGTTCTAWTTTATGTACGCTTTCATTTTGTTTGACAGTATTTTCAGAAGGAAATGCCCGAGAGATACGAAAAAGACATGGACACTGTAATGAAGGTCGCGTCAGATTTTAAATTCAACTCCAAGAAAATGAAAAGGTAATTTGCTGGCTTTCTTGGAAAGTAATGCTATAAGTGATGATGGTGTATATTTCATTCAATTGAATGAATGCAATAATCTATTAAGACGATATACACACATTAGGAAGTTCGGAGAACAATGCGTCCGCCATTTTGAAAAGTGGGACTGGAATCACTAATTATAACTCCTAAAGGAATTAAAAGGTACTAGGCTAATGTCAAGTTAATATTATACGATATAATAATAGAATAGCTGACTTTCCAAATACAAAATGTGTTGTAAGGCACAACATGAGATAGGGATTCAGGTCTCACTTTTCACGATGGCGGAATCATTGTTCTCCGAAAGTCCTGACGCACGTATAACAACTACTCATAGATTAGAGAGAGAATACACKCGAGTCAAACATAAAGAGGCCGAAGATAACGAAGAAATACGCCGGCTTAAAACAGAGAACCGACTGTTAATGCAGAGAATAGAAGAGCTAGAGCAGGTTTGATCATAATGTATAAATATCAAATTCATGAAGGCCACGTCGCGTCTCAATGTAGGCCGGGGTACACGTGTATGACTGTAAAGAATGATCACCGCGGAAAATCGACTGATCGCCAAGTTGAGCTTCTTTTTTGGGTGGATATAGCGCATACCTTATTATCGTGTATTCAGTTCTCAAGTTGTCAAGTTGTCTGTCTGTCTGCTAAGCTATTTATTTTTGTGTTTCAGGAATGTTCAAATTTAGCTGATAGACTAATACAGGTAGGTGCTTTTGTCTCATCGTATGGGAGTTTGATTATCGCAAACATCATCTGATTGCATGGCATAGTTATCCAGTCATGATTCATGATTAGTACAATTATTATACACTCCCCCCTCCCCCCTAAGTACAGAGAAGAACGATGTTACAAACTAGGTCACATAAAATAGCGGGCTATCACGTGATCGAACGATGTCACGACGTTTTTTGTCCGCCTTGTCACATGGGAAGCGAATAGAAAAGCCCTGGAAACGAGGTTGTTGCTGACAGTACATGACTTTTGTTTTAGGGGCAAGTAACACGGGCTCAAGAACAAGAAGAAATCTACGCTCTAAAGAACACGTTAGCTGTAACTAAACGACATGACAAAGACACAACGTTAGCCTTGGCAGAAGCTAATAAAAGAATCGAAGAACTTACTATGTTTAAGGTAAATACGCTGACCAGTCTTATAGCCGAACTTTCATGGAAAAGTGTGCATTCCAGCCCAGTTGTCTCATGACGTAATAAAACGTAATAAAAGTCAATCGTGATAAACTGTGTTGCCTTCCTACGAATAACTAAACATAATTCACCGTCTTATTGCGATCAMTTTTAAGTTCATTTGAAGCGACGCAGTGAGAAAATCCTAAGATTAACGTGTAACATGTATTGTAAAACTCATGAATAATTAATGAGGAAAACACAATAGAAATCACAACCGTGAAGAGTGTTGTAAACATTACATACAACACGGCCGCTCATGTTGTAAACATTACTTAACGTGTTCAGTAATAAGGCGCTGCAATATATGTATTACATAAATTTGTAAAAACAAAGTGCGTTTCTTTCAGACCCATATTCTGAGTGAGCTGTCTAAACGTGAGAGTACTGAGAGGCCATCTCACCGAGATATGAAAATCATAGCCATGCAGGCTGAAATAGAAGAATACAGGGTACGAAATATCAAAGATAACCAACATATGGACGAAATGGCCAG